AGGGTGCCGAAGAAGCCCTTCGACGACGACAGCTTCCTCTCGGCCTCCGCCACCAGGTGCAACGCCTTCTGCTCGCTGTCGGCCATCTCGGCGGACGTCGGTCCGATTGTTTTCTTTCCTTTCCGCCCGTATACGAAGCCCTCTCAGGCCCGATTCATCGACTGCAAACTGCAAGTCAATATATTTTCACCTGATCTCGCCGACGCGTACCCGTACCCCCGCGACCTCGCGACGTCACTAGGCCTAGGCTCCAAGACTGTCCCAAGAATCGCGGAGACGGCCAACGGCGAGGGTGTCTGTCATTGCCGTCAGGGTTGCCAACCCTCCCCATACCCCCCCCCCCCCCCCCGATCAAGACTTTAAAGGTAAAATTTCATGAACAGTGAAAAGCAGCAGCAGATCGTACTGATTGGCTGCAAAATAGAGAAGTTCTCGAGTTTCTAAAACTCCTCTATTTTATAGCCAATCAGTACGACCTGCTGCTGCTTTTCACTGTCCATGAAATTTCACCTTAAAGCAGGGTACACAAGGTATCGCGCGACATTTGAAAACCGGCAACCGCAAATTGAAGAAATCGAATTGATATAAAAAATATAAAATAATATTATCACATAAAACAACTTTTGTTACAACAGACGTATGTTATTGAAAACACAATTAATAAATCTCTGTTATATGGCCCAGATTCGGTTCTAAGAATATGTCTTACATGAAAAAGATAAACATAAAAGTAAGATTTGTATTCATTTGTATTTCTTTCGAAAAATGAACGTTTCCATTGGACGTAGACGTGCACTCCGAAGTTAGCGGAATTCGGTGCGGCGAGGTCCGACTGCAAAGTGCGATCGCGAGCTGTATGTAGTACGCACTGTACGGAGTACAGTTGGCAATTGACTTGCGCTTCAAGCTTCAAGCAGAGCGTGCTCGCGCGCAAATTACTCCGGCCTTCCTTCCTTCAGTTCCTTCTTCTATTCGGATCTACTTGACAAACTGACGACGGTATACGCGACGCGTTGATCGATCGGTCGGACATGTCGTTTCTATACAGGCAGGAGATAAAATCGCTGCAGGACGGCATGCCGAACACTTTCGTAATCGGCGTGATTATAAACAGCACGAACGTGAGAACGTTCGACGCCACTCAAGCCAGGTGTACGCATCTCCGTCGTATTCTTTTTCTCTTCTTTCCTATTGCACATTCTCGCATTTAGAACGAAGATACGGATAAAGAGATTTGGAAACGTATGGACTCTGATTCGCGGAAAATGTCCTTTTTTTACGGAAAAGCTTGCTGAATTACGCGTTGCGTCATTTCGTCGTTCACGAACGCGCGTTCGATTTTCCATTAAACGTCCGTCGCGTCGTTAAAATTCGAGAAATTAACGAATAACTCGGATAAATTGCTTTTATATTAAATTTTTGATTTTTTAACTTATTTCATACTAAATGAGAAAGAGAGAGAAGAAACTTTTGTTCCTCCGTTTTAATTATTTTGTCGATTGTTGCAGTTAGCAATGGCGAACGTAGCGTGTGGACATTTACTTTGCGCGACTCCGAGGAGGATTTTATTAACGTCACCGTGTGGGGTGGCACGGAATTCGTGAAGAAATTATCGACCACGTTTAACATCGGGTCCGTAGGTAAATATTTTAAAAATAAATCTCTCATAAATTACAAAGAGCCGCAACGTCATCATCGTGCACATTTGCAGTATATCATTTTGAAATTAATATTTTCTAATTAAATTAAGCGTCATTGATCGGGCCACTGTTAGGGAATCGATATTAATTTAATTATTTAGTAATTGTTATTTAAAAAATTATATCAAGATATGTATGCAATTTCCCTTTGTTTTAGATATTTAATATATATTCTCTATATAATTTCTATTTAATTCAAATTATTTCACCATGTATAAATATAAACGCAGTCAAATATAAATATAATATCACTTTTCGTGAATAGAAAAAGGATAATTAATTTATGTTTCAAGATTTATAGCGAAGTCTTGATAAAGGATTCGAGTGTCTGTTTCACAGTGGAGGTGATAAGTGCGAAAATCGTAAAACGCAATCCCAACGATAGGAACGAGCAATTCTCGCCGTCGACTTCCAGCCCTTTCACCCTAATTGTGAACGAGGGTACGGCCCTTGTACAGAATCACGACGCGCCGACTCGCAAAGGATACGAGGATCTACTAACGCGGCCCGTAAAAAGCGTGACCTCCGCGAAAAGCCTGAAAACGATTTTGGACAACATAGAGGCACTGTGCGATCGTTTTGTCGACCTTCTGGTGGTCGTTACGTTTGTAAGTTGCAACAAGTAAAGTGTCGAGTCCAATCAGACATCGCGTTTCTCGTGGGCTAATGGAAAAATAGACAATTTATTTAATCGTAAATTAGAAATTATTACAAATCTGCAACTATATTTCTATAAAGTTCCGAATTCTCTCAAGTGAGCTCAACACAAAAATCTTCAGCTGCTCCAACAATTAAAACTGTCACCTTTATGCTCGTGATTATAATAATCTGTAATTATATCGATTAAACGTACTGCAGATCGCTGACGCGCGTCATATAATGACACGGGACGGACGAGCTCTAACGTGTCGCAGTTTCGAGATCGCGGACGGATCGACGGACAATACGGTGTCGTTGATGCTGTGGGATAAGGACTGGATCGAGAGATCGGCCTTTTGGGAACCGAAGAAGACAATGCTGTTCCTGATTGACGCTCGCATTGCATTTGACGAATATAAAAAGAAAACGACGTTGAGTATCTGTATGTTGAAGATCTGATTTCGACTTTTAATATAATATTGATTAATCAAATTTCTCTTAAAAAAAATAAATAATAATCTGGTGAAGGGCCATGAAAATCTCCGAATAAGATTCACATATTTTCTTAATTATTTGATAGAGCACTATAATGTGTCTCGATGTTCATAAAAAATTAAGCAATAGAGAAATGGTGATATATACGTTTTTCAAATTCAATATTCGGATATTTTCCATATTGGGGAAGCGCACTAAATGAATAACGGAAAGACTTGTTACTATACTTTCGCAATATTCGTCTCTCTTGCACGCAGCAAGACGAACGTTGATCACGGAGTGTCTAAACGTACCGCAAGCCGTAGATATTATGACCGCAGTGCAACATTATGATCCTGATTCCGTATGTAGCGACCCGTTCGCCGTACCAAATCGTAAGAATAACAAATAAATGTTTTATGCCGAAATTAACATAAAGATAATTTTATAGCGCATATTTTAATGTGTCACTTTTGCGACATTTATTGCTGTGTCTGTTAATTATATCTTTCAATTATTTATTATCAATTATGATATTATCTACAGTATTATTGCTTAAAGAATGTTTTGAATAATAAACATAATAATGGCAAAAGGAAAAAATAGATACCTCTTTCTTTCTCTTCCTTTCTCTCTCTCTCTCTCTCTCTCTCTCTCTCTCTCTTTCTCTCTTTCCTATATTTTATACAGATAAAATTTTTAGCGCAATTATATTCTTTGTGCGTGTATAATTCAAATGTTGCCATTATCATTATTATTATATTAATTTTTGTGTTAACAGCGGACACCATCACGACCGTAATGACGGTACAGCAAATCACGGAGAAATTACAGAGGAAACCGACTACGGAGGGTGAGAGATTGCAATTCGCGACAATCGTAAGAGCGTCAGTAACGGAAATAAATTTGGATGGTCCACTCAAAGACGTGATATTTATAAAATGGTACCTTTTCTTTATTCACGTTATATTATTCAATTAAAGAATCACACGCTGTGTCATTCTTTTACTTCTAGCGCTCTGTGTAAGAAGACTGTCGCGGACGTGCAGGATTCTTGTATGAATTTAAATTGTCCGTCGGGCAATGGGACGCGAACGCCATTAAATACTGTAAAGTTTAACGTCAAAATTAATTTGAAGGACGACACCGGATATCTCATCGGATGTCGTTTAACCGGCGACATCGCGGAGCGAGTTTTAGGCTGCACAGCTGATGAATTTCAGGTACCTACTACTTTATTTAAATTTACTTAGAGGCTGAAAAACTATTTTCAATTGTACTAAAAAAAAATATATATATATATATATATATAAATCTCTAAAAAATTCTTTGTCGATAACGAAATAGCAAAATAATAGAAGTCAAGATTGAGACATGCAAAATACTTTTTCATATCTGTTAAATAATCTTAGTTTTAAAATTAATTTGATATGCAATATGCGAAAAGTATAATTATATTGCAGGCAATGACGGTAGAAAAGCGCGGCGAATTAAAGTGGCTGTATCTGTTAGAGAAATGCGAGGTTCGCCTGCACATTCTTGGACCAACGTCTGTCTTCCGACGCGCCTTGTATAACGTCTTATCTATTCAACCTGACAAAGAAACGGAGCAAGCTATCAAACACATTGCAACTACGCCCGAGTATTAAAAATTAATATCTCTGATTTGATACAAATTTAATATTTAATATAAATAATATTTAATACGACAATAATTTGTCCTAATAATAATTATTAGATATAATTAAGCTTTTTATTTTATGTCAAAAAATATAAAAATATAATATATTTCTATAAATACTTTTCTTTAACATACTTTTGTAACGTATATTTATTCATATATATATATAATACATAAATTAAATATGCAGATATTAAGAAAAAAAATAAAAAAAAAAATTATTTGCCGAAAATAAAAGATAACGGATTTTATTTAATTAAATTTAATTAACAGCAGGGAGTATATGTGTAAAATTTTATTTGCGCCGATTAAAATGATCACATATTAAAGTTATTATATCGGATGTCTTTTCAGCTCAGCTTATATTTAAAAAATTTATAACTTTTATTTTCCGTAATTGCTTTATTTTATTTGAAATTAATTACTGAAGTGCAGAAAGTGTAGGAAGGTGTAGCTAAGTAGCTGATGTAACGCCTTTAGGAACGCGCGATGAATCTAACCGCATCGGTAAACATTTGAATTTGTGACATCGTTCGCACGCGAAACGCAACGTATTTCGCCGTTACTTACTGCCGGCCGGGTGATCTGGGGATGATCCTCGTCGTCGTAGGCACGGTATTTCTCGTTCGATCGTCGACGTGCGGTGGACAGAGAGGCGGAACCGAGGTTGGCGCTTAGCATCCCAACGTAAACGTTGAGAGAGTGTCACGTACGAATTTTGTCAATTGTCACGAGACACATTTATCCGATGCCTTCTCATGACAAACGCACGTTGCAAGTTTTGCAGCAGACTTATGATGAACTGCAGCGTTATTACACTCTGTTGCGGCTGATCAGGGCCGATCTCGAGAGAATAGCGAAGAACTTCTCCGCGATAGACGGTGGGTACCGGCAAGTGTGATACTTTTGGATACACGCAATTGACTTAACCTGTGAATTGACAAACGACCTTCCTTTTTTTTCTTTTTTTGGAATGGGGAGTTTGTTGTAACTGGCATCCTTATTCCGTGATCTCTAGAAGCTCTAATAATACAGCGAATTCTTTAAAGAATTCTATAGTTTATCCTTGGTACTGATTAAATGATAAAGTGATTCCGTAAAGCTCTGAAAATAAAACCTCTCATTGTCAGATTAATAGAAACTATGTATTTAATGATTCCAGTTTGATCTTTAAAGGATAGCCTTTTCTAAAAACTGGTTATAGAATTATAGATATTTTTATTATAGATAAAATCTTGTTATATTAGTTGTTTTCCTAATGAATAAATTCATTAGCGTGATTTTGTAGGCTTCTGATAATGTTCTTCCATTGGATAAGATAAACTTACTAATTGCTTTAAAATCCCTGAAGAAAACATGGCAATAACTTGCGATCCTCAAAACATTTAGACTAAGTCGTTTATATTAACAATTTGTAATATAATTTACAATAAATTTTATTCCGTAACTACAATTTTAGTACAGAATGGCTATACAGAAATTAGGTGTGCATTATGATCACATAAGTAAACAATTTACTTCTCTTGTATTTATATTACTAAAAATGTATCATGTTAATTGAAACATATGCTTGCTCATTTCAGGAGCATAGGAGTTAATTCTAGGACAGACACATAGACCACTTAGCAGTATATAAACAAGAAGAAAGTAAAAAAAAATCTTTTAAAAATGGATTCTCGAAAGTCTTTGGTACATAAGAGGTTGGAAACTCTACAGAATTCGCCGACTTCTTCATCGCTGTTGCGAAGAAAGTCCATTCAAACCCCAGGCTTAAATGCCACCCTTTCGGAAAACGACGATGAGGCGGAACGTATCGCTCGTCGACGTGAGATGCTTATTACGTCGACAACGCCGCCTAGTACAAGCAGCAAAAGATTCTCCCTAGGCCTGGGATTCTTAGCGGATATTCCAGCGCCCCAGATGGCCGAGAGCATAAATCAATGCATAAAACTGAGCGCCGAGAACAAGATCAATGCCAAGAATGCATTTAGCTTGGAGATGATCGACTTTATGACGTATATGATAAAGAAGCAAGATGCCAATATGTCGAATCTGCAAGTGGCCAGCACATCCCTGGACGTGAGCACCAAGATCTACGGATATCGTGTGGACAGCGTGCACATGGAGATACTCAAAATGGTCGGTGGACTGGTGATAGACAATGCGGAGAAAAGCACGGAGGAGGAGGGAGAAGCTATGCTGGACGATGCGGGGGCAAATGTCGAGGTGCAGAAAAAAAAGAAGAAGAAAGCGAAGCAAAAGATCTTCAGCACCGTGGAAGCTCTGAGAGGCAACGTCGAGATCGCGAAGCCTATCTCGGCGATGATAGGCGAGACAGATCTGCAGACCAGCGACATGCTGTACCAAGCGACGCTGCCGAACCACGCAAATTCCGGCTTCTATCTACATCCGTACAACGACGTGCTCGTCGACGTCATAGAGGATACGCCCGAGTCGCGAGGTAACGCGAATGCGAAGTACGCCATACCGGCGATCGAGGACTTCTTGGATTTAGAGATATGCGCGTCGTATTCGAACTTCGAGTTTCTCAATTGGTCCGTGAATAACGAGCCGGAAGAGATGTCCGAAGAAGAAGCCGAGCCTGATGAGAATGACAACGGATTCCAATTCGATTTGGACGCGAGCGTGGAACACGACGATGAGCCGGCGCCCGAGCCTATGAATTATTTCGACATCGAACACGACGACGACAACCACGAGAACAACGTTCAGGCATGTTATCGGAAGACAGCGGATCGTACAGACGTGAATGTCGTGGACGTACCCAACGTCCGGATGTCCGAGTACTCCTTCGTTCAACCTAACATGAAGTTGCACTGGGCCGGCCCGTCTCATTGGAAGTTTTGGAATTTCGGTAGATCTTTCACTGCCACCGAGGGTGGCTCCAAGGTGGTAGCGGCTTGCATGCAGGCTAAACTGCGAAAGAGAAAACAGTTCGAGATGCTGTACGACGAGGCACGCGATACCATAGACGCAAAGTTTGCCTCGAGCCAGTCCATTAGGTTGCACGCCAAGACCGCAAAAGCAGAATGGAGCGCCGAGAGCTTGTCGCTACCGGAAGATGTGCATTACGACATCGCACAAACGAGAAAGCTCTACCTGTACCCGAAAGTATTTATAAAGCCGGCGAGCAGCGGGGATAAAGAGAACGGGGATGCGGCGACCGCTGCGGACGTGTTCGACGGCGAGAGATACGATTATAACAATCCAAACGACACGCAGGAGTACTGTCCCAATGTTGAACACGATGACGACTATGATGATTACGGAAGTAGGGATGGCAATGACGATTGCAACTTTAGCGATACAGCCGCCGTGTTGGGCAGCCAGGGTCTCATCGGCGACAATCTGGTCGCCGCGCCAAAGCTGGTTAATAAGATACCTATCGCGTATTGCTTGAAGGCGAAGAAAATCGACATGCGACAATTGAAGAAATCCATATGGAGTTGCCTGAGGTCAACGACTGACAACGCAATGGCGGCGAATGCGCAGGAGACGGTGGACGAGGCCGATACGATGAAGGAGAGCAAGCAATTCAGCGACATATACAAGGCGCTGCCGAAATTGCTGACGAAAAGCAACGCCGAGGCATTGAGTGTGCCGATCTCCTTTATATCCATGCTACATCTGGCGAACGAGAAAGGATTGAAGGTTCGTTCGGTACCCGACATGTCTGACCTTATCATCGAGCCTGGGGAATCGTTAACGTGAGAAGACTTCGTCTGTGTATGTACATATTCAAGCAGACATATGGCAACCCCGTTGTTCGGAGTGTAATATTTGTCTGTGGGAGATTGTACATTAAACGTTTTATGTGTAAAACATATTGATATTTTTCTAAAAAGTAGACGTAATAAAAAATTGCGTTGCAAATTTATTTACTTTCGTTAGGATATATTTATACGACATATAATTTCAATAAGGAGTATTTGAATCGAAGATAGGAAGAATATTTACGTTGTAATTGTTGCGGGTGTCGACAAACGAAAGGACAACGAGTTAACGATCTTTTGCGAAAACTCGGCGGCAGCGATCGTATCGGAAATTAAATAAATCTAATTCGGTGTCAATAGATTACGATAAATGTACAAACGTTTACCGTATATGCCGTATACTTATCCGCTTGAAATCTTATCTCACGAAGACGTTTCGCTGTCCGACTTTCGCGTTGTCCTCATCGACGGTCGATTTGCTAGATTCAAATTACCTGGAATTTTTATATAAAATAATTATAAATGAATAGACTATTGGAAGTTGTTGCAAGAATGTTTACGATATTTTTTTAAATAAGATGATAATATTTAGCGTGATATATCATACGATGTAATACGTGTATATACACGTGTATATTTTTTCATACAAAGAATAAAGTATCTTTTTCTATTAATTCGAAAAACGGGTTTGTCACCCTCATTATACTTGATCTAAGTTACAGAAGTATCAATTTGTTTAGTCTCTTTTATGTACAAAGCTTCACATGCGTTTCACACATATCGCAGATCACTTGTTTGACCACGCATTAAATCCATCATGAGTTGCACGCGACCATGACAATATTCTCATTTTGATCCATTCTGCAAAATTGTGAAAAAAAATGTTATAAATCGTCCTCTTTTTTCCATATCCGAGAAACGTTAAAATTACTTAGTCATGACCGTGCTGTCGAGATTGTTCCTCGATTTGTCGCGGCGATACGGACGTTGTTCCGTCTTCGCGCGTCGCGGATCTTCGAAAGTTCCTCCGATCGACGAGCGGAAGGTCCAGAGAGTCGAGAAGAGCGCGAAAGGATCGACGAGACGGGAGAAGGATGAGAATACGCAAAGGGGCGATGAGGCTAGCGATGTAAGGGTGTGCATCATCGGCGGGGGAGTGACGCCTCTCTACACCGCGATTCTCTTGAAGCAATATCGGATTATCAAGAGCATACGCCTGGTGGACATGAGGGACTCCACGTCGGAGGCTTTGACGGACGCGTCGCACCTGGAGACCAGTCCTCGTATAGATTACTTCCGGAAAAAAGATATAAAGCGGGCCCTGAGGGAAGTAAGAGCCGAAAGGAAATACCGATTGCACAGAAAATTTTCTTTATAGATCCGTTGAAATAAAGTAGCGTGAAAGGAGAGAAATATCGGACCTAATTTAGCAATCCAGAAGAAATTTTATTTTAATTTTTTTTAATAATCTAGGAGCTTAATAATCTATAGAAAATTTAAATTAATTATATATAACATTATATATGATATAAAATATAAAAATATTGCTATAAATATACTGAAAAAAAAAAATGTTTAGGCGAACATCGTCGCGCTCATGGACGAGACGGACGTCGGCGCGGCGGGCAACGCGGCGACCCGGGAGCAATTCAAATCGACGGCCGACTACGTGCGTCAGACGACAGATCGGATACTGCGCTTCTGCCCGGACGCCGTCGTGGCCGTGTTCGCGCGTCCCGTCACCGCCACGCTCGCCATGGTCTCGGAGATCTTCCGGTCCTCGGGCTGGTGGAATCCCGACCGGATCGTCGGCTCGACCGCGATGTATGGCGGACGGATCGAGGAGGTGACGGCGGCCATCCTCAACCTGGAGCGCGCGAGCCTCTCGGTGCCGCTGGCCGGCGGCGCCGACGCGCGAACCGTCGTGCCGTTATTGTCGCGCACCGTTCCGTTCAACCAATTCACGAAAGTACGAACGAGAATTGTAATCGTGGAATTTTAATTTTTAATCTCAGTCCGGTAGAGTTTTTCAAGTACAAATTCAAACGCTGTCTGCCACTTTCAGGCTGATTACGACGCGCTTTTCAAAAAGCGTTCAAATTCATTTAACATCTGCGGAATTTATTAATGCAAAAATTAATTTTATTCAATAGTATGCACAAATTTGTATGTACAAATGTTGTTATTACTGTAATAATATTTAATTCTTTGAAAAAAGACTGAAAAGTTTCTTCCTAAAGAAAGAAAAAACGAGCTTTTTAAAACACAGGATGGTAATCTTGTCTCATTTCGCGTGAAATTTTCTTTTCTGTTTTATGTGACAAATAGAAGAAAACCCGTTGCATCAATCTAAATAAAATAGCCATGTGTTTATCTGTAGAAAAAAAAATTAAAATTCTACTATATATACGTCTTTCGAGTTCTTTTAAAAACTAAAATTATATAAATTACTTTAAGGAAATCGAGTCATCTTTTTATAGCTCAGATATTAAACGCACAAAGGTCAAATTAACGCATTTTTACTACAAAGAAATATCTCTTTGCAGAAAAGATACGAACGCGTTAATTTGACCTCTTTTCTCAATGTAATTAATTTATATAAAAATATATTTTCATTCATTAATTCAGTTAACGATGTTTATACAGCTGCTATTGTATAATATCACTTAGGTCACTTAGATGATAATTAAGTTTATACAATTCGCGCGTCTCTCTGTATAACAATTAATACCATTAATTATCAGGTGCAACGCAAGACTCTGCTGCAATCGTTTCGGGCCGTTGACGAGGAGGCAGGGACAGGGCTTCCCGGCGAGGGCCCATCGTTATCGTCTGGAACGGCCGCTGCGAAACTGCTGATCGACCTCGCCGCCGGTCTAACTGGACATGATCACGTCGTCACCTGCGCCTACGTGCGATCAGACGTCCTACCGCTCTGCCGATTTTTCACCAGCGAGTTGGAACTAGGCCCGGGAGGCGTCAAGCGAAATTTGGGCCTGCCAAAGATCTCGGCTGGGGAAGTACTCCTGATTGAGCAAGCGATACCCCTGATCAACGAGCACGTTGACATGGCGATAGCGGCGGTCCGGACGGAGAAGACGCGCGCGCGAACGCGGTGAACGACTCCCGATTATCTCCTCCAATTTCGAGAAATCTATTTCGGTACAATTAATGAGAACTGCGCGAATATCTTGGACCATGTTGAAATGTGTTTTGCAAATTTGTTGCGATGTATATTTAATTATACCTCCGCGATACGTTTCGTCCCATGTAAAGTAAGACCTCGTTTTGTCAGGATCTATAAATAAATATCGCGCGAACGAGAAAAAATCATAGAATTAAGATCATAAAAAAGCGAAGATGCGTTTGAGTTTTACGTCGCCAATTAGGGAAAGGGTGGGCGATTAAAACTGATCTTTTTAACCCGGAAATAGGTACCTACCTGGGATGATTTTTACACCCCAATATCTAAGGAATGAAACGTCACAGTAATTTTAATGTGTTTCTTTCGTTTTTTATATTTTAATAATATTTTCTCTTTATATCTTAATATTTTGTTTCTTACTTTTTTTAGAAAATGTCGAGTAAAACTATATATTGTCTTCAAATATTAATAGATTATAAAACAATCAAAAATATGCAATATGTAATTATAATAACACTGACTTTTTTAATCACAGGGTGTATCAGGGTGTAAAAAATCACCCTAGGTGATCAGTTATGCAATTAAAAAATCAGTCCGTTTTCCGGTTAAGAATTACAGAACAGATTTTACCAGGTGTTTGCGATCATCTTCGCGAGTTTTGCGAGTTCTGAAACTTAATTATCTCGCGGGGGGGAAAGTGACTTTGCGTGTATTCATTGTATTTGCGCACGTGCGACACAGCTCGCTCGCGCATGCAAGCGTGTTGTTTTGACACGGTGTTGATCAAACACTAGCAATCGCGGATGTCGGATGATTTGGCCATGTATCAATACCAGTATCAATGTATGTAGTTAGTAGTATCGCTTATCAGTCGGACGCGTCTGGCCGTTTCGTTGATGTCGTGGGGCTCGTTGCTGGTTGCCGTGCGCGCGCGCGCGCGCACTTGTCATCCACCCTTCTCCGCGGTGTCGAGTGCGTCGAGACAGCGCGGGGTATTATAGCTGGCGAGCGTGGATCGAGCGGAGTCAGTGAGTCACCAGTCGTTCGTGAGGTACCGTTAAACTGGGAATGAGACGCGCATTGACGCGCATTTCTCTCGTCCCCTTCACGCAGGCGGAACTGCGATATTTGCGCGCACGAGCCGCACAGGAGTGTCCATTGTTCGAGCACGAGGCGTGCGATGATTCCTTGAGGCACCAGGGTCTGAGTTTTTTTTCCCCTTGTAACGCGATTCGTACGTCGAGCCGAGTATATAGCTTGAACTATTCCGAAGGGACGCAATCATGTGGAAACCCTTCGAGGCTGGCAGCTCGCCCGTGGACTGGTGCGAGCGCAACTACAACATCTCGCCCAGCATCGCCGAATTTATGAACACGGTTCGTATTGCGCGTTTGTCGTACATCTCTCTGTCTCTCTCTCTCTCTCTCCTTCGTGTTTCTCCGGTCAATTTGGAAATTGGTTCTACCTGGATCTGGATAAGGAGGCCCAGGTATCAGTGGTTCTGGAGTCATTGACAATTGCGATTCAGAATTGTAATGGAGAATTTACTCCAGAAACGTGAGAGGGACTTTTCCAGGAACTTGAGGAACGAGAGGACAACAAAAACTTTTCGTTTAATACTTTCTAAATTAGTCGCAAAAATATTCACCGTTGAGATTCGTACTAATCCAAGTGGTAATTGGTTTTCAGCTTTTTTCTTTCTGAACAGGTAGTTTTCTTGCACAAAGCAGATTCCACTTTTTATCAAAAAGTGTATAGGTCAAAGTTTCACTGAAATGCAAAATGTACCTGTGATAAATGGTTTTGAATTTCTTTTGCACTAGGCAGACAGATTTTTTGCTGCAATAGATAGTTTCCTGCACAGGCAGGTTCAACATTTATATTTATAAAATGTCAGATAATTTATAGGTGAAAGGTTGTTTGGTATGAGGCAGATTCTACATTTGTCAACAAATTTATAAAATCAAAGTCACCACAGAAATGGAGAGTAACCTTGTGATAACCGGTTTTCAGTCTTTTTTGCATGAGGTAAACAATTATTTGTTTTACTGTGACAGATAGTACAGATATTCTACATTCATAAAATGTCAAACAGTTCATGGGTGAAAGTTCCATAGATCCCGAGATAATGCTTGTGATTGGATAAGAAAATTATATGTTATTCTATACGAGCAAAATAAAGGATAAGTAGCTACGTTATGCGCACGGCTTATTCTCAATTTGAAATCTATTTTTCCTGAGCAATGACACCTGGATATCAATGATTATTGAGTCACGTGAATTAAGATGCGATTAAATTATAATTAAACGAGGACTTTTTTTTTTAGAGAGTGAAACGTACAAGCGGACAACAAATTCTCAATGTCCGGTAATTTCTAAACTGGTCACAAAGGTATTTAATGTTGAGAGTTGCACCAAGACGAGATTTCCAGTTTTTTGTTGAGACAGGTAGACTTTTTGCTCGAAGCAGATTCTAAATATGAACGTGAAGTTCATCGGTCAAAGTTCCGTAGATCCGAGACAAAGTTCGTGTGTTTTGTGATTGCGAATAAGAAAATAGTACTACGCATAAACGAGACAAAGGATACGCACACTAAAAAGATAACGAGATAAAAATATGTTTATACACAAAGGCGAGAAAGAGAGAAAGAGAGAGAGGGGGGGAGGGAGGGAGGGTACCTATATAATTGATTTGTATCTTGATTTTCATAAACATCGTTTCTTATCTCTGATAAGTCTCTGGTACGACGAGATTTTATCTTCTCTTATTCATCCAGGAATTAAACTACTAGTATATACGCAAATTGAAAACCATGTCATCTGGAACTAAATCTCGCATTTTAGAACGATGGAATGTGATTATTACATTTTCTACCAAATGTAGTTTTTTACGTACAAATGTACAAGAATATTTTTTTGCACAGAATTATATCAATGTTAAATCACGATTGATTGCATTGTATAAATAAACAAAGATGTAGACAGATGAATATAGAAAAAAATGTATAGAAAGATAAATACAACAGAGGTATAGAAAGAGAGCAGTATTTCATTGTTAACTTATCTACCGTTCTTATTTTTTAGTTGAGCAATGTGGTCTTCGTGTTGCTTCCACCCGTGCTCATGCACCTATTTAGAGATTATGCACGTTTTGTGAATCCAGGAATTCATGTATTCTGGTTCTTACTGATGGTAGTTGGGCTTACTAGCGCATACTTTCACGCTACTTTGTCCTTGATAGGTGAGAATTCCAAATATATATATATATATATCCCTTAATAATTTAAGAATAACGTGTCACGACAAAAAAAAATGGCATTTAAAACTATTTGTCGAGATACATTTGCTTAATCGGTGAAATGGATAGTTGCGTAATAGCTAATGTTGTGCATATATGCGATAGGTCAACTATTAGATGAATTGTCTATTTTGTGGGTGTATATGGCAGGCTTCTGTATATTCTTTCCCAGAAGATATTTCCCCAATGTCGTACATAACGACAGAAAGCTCTTCTCTATATGCGCAACGTTGCCCACTCTAATCGCTACCGGCTTGATCCTGATACATCCGGCCGTAAATGCTTTCGCATTGATGAGCCTGGGCATACCGGCGTTCGGATTCTTGATCATGGAACTGAAGAGGTAAATTTCTTCGTACAGGCATTCGATTTAGAAATTATACAGAAAGAGAAACTCCGATAATGATTAATGTAACGGAGATGTAGGGATATTATATGTATCTCGATGTAGCAGTCGTAACACGGAGTACACGTTGTAACGGTGTCTTAAAAAATTTGAAGGACTACCTCGATAAGAGTATACAGACTAGGATTGCGATGCGGCGCTGTATGGATACTGGCGGTATTCTGTTGGCTGAACGATCGTCTGTTCTGCGATACCTGGCTGAATCTGAACTTCCCGTATCTCCACGCGCTGTGGCATCTGTTCATCTTTATCGCGAGTTATACCGCAGGGGTGCTTTTTGCGTATTTCGCCGTGCAGGATGAGAAGCCGCACCAATCGCCGGTGCTCAGGTATTGGCCCAGAGACGACTTCGAACTCGGTATACCGTACGTGACTATTCGTAGTTACATTAATACGGATTACAATATGAATATATAGCTCTCGTAAGAGCTCCGAGATCGTTAACATCGTAACGTATTATTTATTACGGTGAAGTATATCTAACATTTGAATTTTATGCAATATTCATGCGTTTAAATGCGCAGATGATGTGTGGTGTTCCGTGATTTATAAAGATATAAATTTTATCATATTTGACGTCGTATTTTGTTTTAAAGAATCGATTATAAAGTCATTAACAAGAATTGAATTTTATATCGTGTAAGAAAATAAAAAAATATACAAGAAATTTCTACACAAGTGCATTGAATACTTAATTCAGTGATAATTTCACAAATCACTAAATGAGCGCGTATGTAATACTTGACTTGAGACATTCTAAATTTACTGCTACTCTAAAGATGCTTTTTATTTATTTAACATACGAGATTATTGAAAATATCAATGATTAAGTAAATTACATGTCCCATAGTAGCCTAATATTTCTACCTGACAATTAGCATTTCCTCTAGTGATATTAGTTAGTAAAATGTTTTTCATCTAAAAGTCTGGAACAGATCTTTCCAAGAGAGTATACAACTTTACAACGGACATTTTCGTTTCATTGTTACAAATGATGTAATAAGTTCTGTACATAATTGAAAGCAGCGTACATAAAGAAACGAAGTGATTCCCCATACGAGTAGGGATTACAAAATCGCAGATATTTATGATCATATATGTACATTAGCGAATTAGAAATTATTTATGGAATAATTGTGATATGCACTCTTGTTAACTTTTTTACAAAGGACTATTTTATAAATGTGCTTTAATACAAATCGTATCAATCGTTATTAAGAATATCATACGCATGCGTGTGTATTTTATATTTTAAGTACCGGATAAAGCATGAAGATATAGCATAAGTATACTTAATAATGTCCTATTAGTTAATTAGAATAGAATCTCAAGATTCTAACAACTGTCTTAGATGTGAGACTATATATATATATATGTGCAATAAGGAAAAAAAAATGTTACGGGTGAAGCATTTATTTTTTGCCATATTGTAGACTGTAACTACAACTCTGGTTTAATAAAACTATGGCAAAACTGGAATGTGTGTTGAATTTTCTATATTACTTATATATAAGCGTGTAATTTACATATTATTTTCGATCGTTTTAATGTAATTAATATACAATCGTATAATTGTATTATATAAATGTAATAAAAAATACCAAACAAATATCAAAAATAAACAAATCTGTACAATTAAATGATCTGATTAAGGAAATGTAGTTTAATCGTATTCCCCTCTAAAACACATGACATTCTTATCAGTTTCATGGACCTTAACTTCATACAGCAATTCGGGGTTCGACATGTGCGTCTTTAGCTCATCGAATATATAAACAGCGACGTTCTCGGTCGTTGAGACAGTGTCTCTGAAATAATCTACTTGCTTGTCTATATTTTTATGATCCATCTGATCCATCAGCACCTTTTGCATACAGTCTTTCAGGTCCTCCAAGTTCATAACCATCCCTGTGGATGAATCCACGGGTCCACGGACGGTTACTTCCACTGAAAGTGAATTAATCCTAGCTCGATTTTGTCTAATCATCAAAAAAATTTAATATTAAAAATTTTAAAGTTGAAGATAATTAAAAACAATGGCGTTCAATCTTTCAGTAAGAACATCAATCTTTTCCTTACAATTTCTTTCAAATTTATGTGTTAAACAATTCTAAATTAGACAGCATTTTGAGCTTTCGCTAGGAAAAGAGAAGAATACATTCAACAAAAAACATCACTCTATTTTTTTCAGACACTTTGTGCGTACTAGTATGTAAGATAATTAGATAACGATGCAAATTACCGGTATAATTGTGACCATGGCCATGCTTGTTGTTGCATTTTCCGAACACACGTTTATTCTCTTCATCACTTAGGGACAGGCTAAAATTAAAATTCTTTAGATCGATGCTTTGAATCATCTTCCACGAATTCTTCGATCAATTCAGAGAATCAATTTTTTTCCCTCAGAAACAACTTAATATATCTTTACATAATACACGTATATATTACATAAACATTTATTATATACTTTTATATATTTTTTTCTATATAAAATCAATGTTTAACTCTTAATAATAGATGTGAAGGACATAAATCAAAATCTCTCTCATTCTTTACAAAAATTAACTAGAATGTAAAGTTGTTGAAGTTCGAGAATCGATTAACTCTTAATTAGAGAGTTTCTAAGCGACTGAAAGCAAAGAATTTTTTTCGAGAATGACACTCTCTGAGAAGCAGCTTTGTTAAAGTCTTCAAGCGAATAGCTACTTGATTTTAAGATTTGTAATTAGAACATTGCAAGGTATCTGAGAAATCGAATGTTCGCAAATGACGTGCTCCGTCGAGCATTCTCTCTCCTCGAGGATGACTCTTTGTACTGATCGTGAGATCACCGGTTTGGATTCGTACCTGTTCAGGCGATGGCAACAGGATATCTGCGCCTTCCGCGTCAAGTAAGCGATCGGCCTTCTGTTGCCAAATGGATCCATTCTCAACGGGAATACGCGAACATGGAGCTCGGGGATATGTCGGAGGCGATGAAACAAAGACGTGCCTCCCGGATGCGCGGTGGATTAATCAAGGCTCGCCGCAACAGCTGGAAATCGACGTGGTTGGATATTAGAGTAGTCAGAAATCTCTGTGGATAATCACCCATAATTATCCAATAAAAACCACAGTATAATGATAAATTAAAAATCTATTTCAGATAGCCAAACTTCCGTGAAAAATAGATTTTACGCAACGTCTGCTGCAAATTTTGTCGGCAGAATGCCAGTGAAAATATAAAACCTGCTCGGCAGAATATGATAGCAGATTGACTGCGTAAACCAAGCAGAATTTATCACTTTATATTTAAATATCATGTATATATATGTATTTTTTATATATGTATATATAACATACAAAATGGTTTTTTCAGTTGTTCACAAAGAATTACACATATACATATACATATACATATGTGTGTGTAATTCTTGTAAACTAAAAATTAAAAAACCATTTATATATTATATATATTTCTAATTATATAATTTAATTAAAGGAAATTAAAATACACTGAGTATTTATATATCATATATAACTTTTGAAAAATTAAAAGAAAATTTTTTACAAAATCACAGAATGCTAAAAATGACTAATTATGTCGACATTAAGCGTCAAATGTTAAATGTAAAACACGTAATATTAAATCATTTTAACAAACAACCAAAGTTTTCATAATACTGATATCATATCGACATTATTTACAATATCGAGAAGCGAAACCGCGATGAAAAAGTGTTATTTACGTCGCTTTTTCGTCTTGATTATTATCGGTCGAAAGATATTTACAAATAGTTGTTTGAACGTTGACTCAACGTTCCATTTCGAAAGCAAATATCTTTCTTCCGCGAGCACGTGGAGTCGTCTTCTTCGTCTATTTTTATCACAATCGCTGCGCAAATCGATCGTAAAAACACGCATATCTTTTTAATTAATCGTCCTAGTAGATTTTCCGATTGAAAACATGGACAGTGATATTATAGAAAAATATTACACCAATCTAGATTACGTCAAACCAAGGAGTAACAAATCTGTGAGTATTCAGATCCACGTACGAAAACAGATTGTCAAATTGATTGCGAAATTTACCATTAAAAATAGAGAATCTAATCTAAGGTTTTGGCATTTAAAACGATCCGATCATGTTCGTTGAAATGAGTAATGCTGTTCCTTTACATCCATTTTCAGGAAACGTCAATATCCGCTTTAACCAGAAATGTGAAACTGGAGGGTGACAATTTTTTGGATAGGTAAAAATACTAAACGAACATTTAAGTCTTAATGCGAACGACGCGACGAAAGTCACAGCTAAAATCGCATTTATCTTTGCTTCTGTTATTTTTAATATTTGCTTTTTATATTCGTAGATCCCTAGACACGATTAACTATATGAAGAATAACATCGATCTTTTCCAATCTGTCTGTAATCACAGAGATGTACCTCGATATATTATACACTTTTTATATGCTTATCCTACAATGGTTAAGTCTC